CCCTCCCAAAATTGCCACAAAATCCACGACTCAAGTTTCTTCGTATGAAAAAGATGGTGCAAAAAACCCATACCCAACCAGTGAATCATTCCATGGCGGCTTGGAGTTTCCAATTGTCGGCTATTTCTCCCTCTGTAGACTCTTTCTTCAAGTTTTCGCTTTTGCACTGTTAACGGTAAGAGTTGTTGATACAATCCATCCTTTGCTTTTTCTCTTGAAATATTAGTATTTGATTTGAGTTTTGTTACATTTCTCTATTTTTTTTGACATTTTAAAGGTTTCAAATGATTGTGAAGCTCTATTAGTTTCTGCTAGCATGAACTAAGAAGGAATGACAAAAATTAGAGATATAACTGAGGATTTTAAATATGTAATTTGGCTTGTGGCACTGGGTTTAGGATGTAATGAGGTTCTTTTCCTTTGTGAATTTTGTTATTTTTCAGTCGATGTGATATCGGTAGGAATTTATACTATATTTTTCCATTGACCATGTATATGGTGGCTCAAGTTTAGAATTTAAAACTTTTTCAACACAATTATTAATACTTTGTGGCGTTTGATAGTCAAGTTTTGCTTTTTGTAGAATGCTATGTGGATTTTTGTTTATGAAATGCTATGAAGATTCTATTAGGTGATCTTTCTTTATTTCTTTGGTTATGATATACAGAATTGATTACAAAACCTTCTTTATGTACTATTTGCTGCATTATAGTTTTGAAGATAAACACTGCAATGTGGTTATTTATTAGAATGGGCATTTAAATATAGAGTTTATTTGCTTGCCATGGTGCATTTTTATCTTTTTTCCTGGTGACTACATTACTCCCTCTATCATGGCTGAATAACTTTGTTTAACTCTTTTGTTGAATGGATAGCGTTTTCATAGTTTCTTATTTATTTATTTCTTGTGAAAAAACATAGTGTAGGAAAATTCACATTTACAAATTTAAATAAAAAACTATAAAGATATCTAATACATAGTACACATACATCTCTGGTATACCATTGATATGACCGGCGAAGTATTTTACATTCTACTTATTAATCCAATGAGCAGCTACTTAAGCGCTATAGCTCTATGTGATTATGGTGCTTCGGCTCATTTACCCATGTTAAAGAATTATCATCAAATTTTTAGTAAAGAATTTGAGACCAAATACATATTGTTCTTTAAGTGAAGATTTGTTGTTTCTTTGTAGTGATGTTGATGATCCTCACACATTCATCGACCTTTACTTTTGCAGGATTACTGGGGGTTAGTGAACCTACATACGATTTGTCTGATGGAATGCAATTACATTGTCAAATAGTAAAGCTCGGGCTTTATTATACGAATTTTACTGGAAACACTTTGATTACCATGTACTCAAAGTTTCATCTTATTGAAGAAGCAGAGATGGTGTTTAGGCT